CCCACTGTAGTTTCAGCTTAAGAATAATCAATAGCGTTCCGTTCAAAAGAGAAGAACTGAAAGATGGCAAATAAAAAAATGGTTAGTGATAATATTCTTGGAGAACGAGAGTGTCTCCTTTCTTAGGTTAAATCACCAGCCAGAATACTTCCAAATTTAATCAATAAAGGAACAGAAAAAACTTATAAAATTGTCAGTTGATGCAAAAATGCGATTACATCTTTCGGGAATATCAGAGTCTCTCCGCCATACCCATACCCCTTATAAAATTTTTCTAGTTCCAGACGTCGCGGCGTATTTTAAATTTTAAATGGCCACCTTCGAGTAATGTAATTTTTGTTTTCATTGCTCTTGTGATAATTCTATTCAGACGAGAGGATTTCCGAGAAAATTTCTGCGAAGTTAATGTTCTGATTACCTTGTTATCGTCAGTAAAAACAGGCTTCTCCAGCTGGGCGGAGTTATCGTTCGGAAACCCACCATCTTCCATGTCGTTGTTAAAGTCAAGGGAGACAGTTTGAAATTCATAGGGAGGTGGTTGCTCATAGACTATCTCATTATCAATTCCAAGTTTGGCCTCTGTTTGATGCTGTGCTTCTTTCTCTTTCTTTTCTTTCTTCTCTCTTATTCGACGTGCTCTCTTAGGTCTGAGATACAAATAACTCTCGTTTAACGTTTCGCAGAGAGATCTACAGAGATGTCAAGGTTAGCCAATCGATAGACATGTGACGGGGCAGACATAGAAGCAAAAAATACGTTTGTTCACGCAACTCTCAGCAATGTTAAAGGACACTCAATTACAACCATTAACAATTCAACTCATAACGCGACCAAACATCAACATCTGTCGCATCATCATTTTTACACTTCTCCACCTTCTCATTTGCATTCTGTATACTATACATCATATCAACACTAACATATACTTCTAACATATACACTTCTAACTAAACATAATTTCATCATAAATTTCTGACACAAAACCACCCCTTTCTAAATTTAAATCAACCAAATACTTCCGAACCCTTTAGATGGGTTGTTTCTCCAACAAATTCACAGTAGCCCAGTGATAGAGTATGGGAAGATGAAATCAAAACTGGCTGGGGCTGGAATCCTCATCTTTTTTTTGGATCCCACGTTCGTATGTGTAACATATTTCTTTGTGATAATCTGTGGATCAGCGTTATTATCAGAGCAATTGCGCACCTCCCCCGCCCCTAACCCAATAAAAGTAAACTGATAACAAGTTAGGGCCAATGTTGGGTTAACGGAGGGGAGGGTGTGCAATTTCTCAGATACCCTCCCTTCCATGTTGTTTCAGTCCAGCAATTTTATCTTACGAGCCCCGTTATGTCTACTCCTCTTGTTACCCACCTGTGCCGACAGCAGAAGCATAACAGACCAGCAATGATCACACAACCAAACAATACAATTGGAATTACTGAAAAGTACAAAATAAAGTGTTTACATTTAAAGTACATTTCGGAAGCAACGATAACGATAACGATAACACTGAATTACTATATCATGCCTCCTTTTCAGTAGTTCCTACCTAAGAAGAGAGTTTCTTTCAAAGGCTTCTTCGCAAGTGCTCCATTACTAATGAGATCAGAATCAAGGAACTTTCTGGGACCATCTTTCTCAAAGACAAAAAGAATGACTCTAATGATACATAACGTTAGAGACATTACACTGCCTGCTACAGATACTTACACAATAAACATGAATCCAATAGGTTAATAACCTACAACAGCTTACCCGTTTCTTATTTTGCCCACCAGTAGAAAAGCCAGAGAAAAAAACAATAATTTCAAGAAACGCGACGTTATTTATTTTTTATACACCTCCTTTAACATCTTAAGTTTAAACTAACGCAATGAACAAAGTGATTTTAACGGAGGATTATAGAGAAATTATCGAAACAAGTATTTCAAAAAATTTTTAAATATTCTCTCGTTATCATTCGTGTGCAAAGTAGTCCTGAAAAGGTCTGTTTACGGTAAAAATGAATAACGTTTCGACAACCTGAACGGAAATCACTTTGATTTGGCCACAACCGCAAATCCAGGGGGTAGGTCTACGGGTCTCGGAACCCACTCCGTCTACCCATTAGAGCTGTGGTTATCTTGTCGACTTGTCTGACACCAAAAACATCAGGATCACATAATACAACTCAACTTGAAGAATTTAGAATTTACTTTTCTTGAATTATTTCGTAGCCTATCTAGGCTTTGTGTCGTCTGGATATAAATTTGGACCCCCTCCCTCGTCCCAATTCCTGGATTCAAGTTTGTGTAAACTGCAACAGGGTTATTTAACATTATCAGCTTAGTTGATAACGTAAATTAGCCACCAAAAAGAGTTTCGAAGCTGACGCTTTGAGCGTCAGTCCTTTGCCATGCTCTCTCACTATCACAGCGACACATTGTGTGTAGAAAATTTAGAAATTTTTCTCTAGAAATTTACCCCCTTTATTAGTGTAAACTGTAAGCTAGCCTGTTAGTCTCTATTTGAATGCTAAAGGAAATAAATTTTCAGCTCAACCGAAGTTTCATCTCACCTGATGGACATCCATACAAAGCAATACGCATACACATCCATTTTCCCGTGCGGCTCTTTGGATAAATACGAATATAATGAGCCCACGTGTCTTTCAACGTCGTATTCTTTGCTTTTACGTCGTCATTAGCTGAAAACTTTGTACAGATAATTCGATATAAGTTCATGTTAAAGCATGATTCAAATTTTTAAAGAAAAATTCGACCGTGTCTGCTGGGGTTGATGAAAATTATGAAACAGTACTGTTATCGATGAAAATCATTGTTTTTAACTTTAGAAAATTGGTGTTTAGATTCCTATAATGATTTGAAATAAAAGAAAAATCCCCAAAATCGAGAACAAACAGAGAGACAACCCCCCCCCACCCTCCAAAAAAATAAACAAAGAAATAAATGAGAAATAAGTGAATTGTTGCCGAATTAATGAATGGATAATGTCTGCGTGAACTCATAATTCAATGCATGATCCATGATGAAATGGATGACAGCATGCTGGTTTGCATGATGAAATGAATGAGTGCATGCATGCATGCATACCTAACTTAATGGTCTCGAATTCTGTTGTCTCTGAACCGATTTAATGGTTATTACCTGCTTTTTTATGCCTCCCTCAGAGTAAAACGTCCAATCCTTAGAGTCATTGCTGTTTGAGACTTCAAAGGCTTTAACAAAAATCTTTTCACCATCAATAACGACTCCTTCCGACTCAATGATCGTAAAATATGTCAAATGTTCTGAGGAAGAAACAGGAATTGACAAACAATAGACCATTGTTGTGAAATTGAAAAGAATCTAACGCCTCTTTGTTAAGTTTGGGTACACGCCAGGAATTCTGGATACAAGTAATGAATTCGACGCAGTCTTGTATCCCTTCTTAGGGAAATATTGTGTAATGTCAAGCTTATCTTTTTAGACTGCTATTTTTGCGAGATGGTATCGCTCGACTAAAACGACAGAACAAGGCAAAATTAACTGACTTTTTACTCTGCGCAAAAAGCTTCGACCTCAATATACCTCGACCGGCTGCATTCGGTTCAGTTTTTCTGGCTTACGTCAAAATACATACCGAAGAAGATTTGTATGTAGGGATCTGAGTCGCTCTGTGACGCACACCATCCATCAGCCCATGATCCTTTGCTCTCCAAACCAATTCGACCACGGAAAGCCTGGTGCCCGTTACTCTGGTGCGATGATGACGTCATGTACTTGTCTGGAATTCTTTTCGAGCTTGGTACCTTAACACCTAACTCTTCTTCATTCGGACATCCTGCAGAAACTGTGAAAATTGCTGTATCAAAATATGACAAGGTCATAAAGCCCCTGTATTTCAGCGGTTGATAAGTAAAAGCTAGGCCGTTATAGATTGTGCTTGTAAAAGTAGTTATGGTCAAAATTATGCTCGTTTTGATAATTACGCAAATCGATAAAAAAGCACGATATCCTCTCTAACTTTTGTTACACACTTCCTCGGAAAAACCGCCAGTTTGGTGCCTAAGAAAGCGGAAACTGGGACAGACGGCGCAACCTTCACGTAAAACGTCCAATATTCATAACCTCCTCAGCCAAAACCTTCAATGCCATTAATAAAATTTATGTATACAACGTCTGTAGCCAGGCGTGAAATCGGAAAGTCAATGTTGTCACGGCATTTCGAACCTATTTGATGTTCAGGCTACCTTCTTCACACGAATGTTTTGTTTCTCCTATAAACTATGCAACCAAGTGGCGTAAATTTGTAATGCTCAATGTAATTTGTAACTTCCTCAAAACTCTCCATAGTCAAATTTGCTCAGTTTGCGAAATTTTTCATTCCACTCATTGTGATCGTGTCTAAATTCTTGCCTCATCAACTAATGAAATCACAATTCAGCTTTGACTAGAGGAATTTTTTTTCTTTTCAGATGAGTAGCACCAACAAATAACTATTCTCCTTTTCCTATTCCTTCCTTCAAATTTGTCCAGTTAGATTGTACAAATTCTCTGTGACTGTTGCACAGATTGGACAACAAACATCTAACGTATTCAACAACAAAGATCAGACCTATTTGTGTCATTTTGTTGGTGACGAAGTTTCTAAAAAAAATGAAAAATGATTTATTTTTAAGCTGTAATACAATAACCTGTGTCTGCTTTTCCACAAGAGCTACGCAGTTCATCAAACGTTCTGAGTTTTCCTTTGACGTAGTCGCTTGCAATTCCTGATTTAAATAACACACACAAACAAACATACACACACTTACTTTGTGCATCAGTCCATGGAGTTAGCAATAAAGCCATAGTAAAAATAATCAAAATTAAGGTGTTTCCCTTAAGTAGAAAATCCATGGTCTAAGCTGTGAAACGCATGTAAACAACCAGATTCTGATATCGTTACTTGCTCAGTTTGAAGGGACGAGTTCACTTTATGTAAATATACGAATTTTAAACAATTAGATTATAACTTGCGTTTAGCTGAATAAAAGGTGAAGTCATCTGTAAAGTAGTTTTGGTCTCTGCCTGTTTCCAGAACGCTGGGAACTGATGTCTGCTGTGGTATTCTCTGTCATCCAACGCATTAAATGAATAGTCTAGAATTTAGGAAAAGAAACATGAGTGTTTTGTGAGATTTCGGCAATTTAACTGGAGACGAATAGGATAGCTTGATAGTATTGTTTTGTTTTGTTTTGGTTTTTTTTTATATACATATGTATAAATAATGCTCCCCTGATCCTCCCCCTAATTTTTACAGCAGATGCAAACTCTAAAGAATGATCAAGCTTTATCTTATTATTAAAAATTTTTACATCTTGGATTACCAAGTTATCACAGAGCTCTTTTTAGTACTTTGATCAGTTTAACACCCAAAAAGAAGTGGACATACATAATACATACAATCAGCTCAGTAAAAATGTGTCTATTCAAGACGAGGTTCAGCCTCTGCTGCCTATTACTATTGCCAGCTTGCCTTCCGCTCAAAAAAATTTGACTGGGCAGATACATACATACACACATACATACATGTGGGATTAGATTACATATGTGGACCTGCTCTATCGCAAGAGATCAATGAATTGTAACTCAATGAAACATTGATAATTCAAATAGATAAATATAAATGACAGAAATTAAACTAACAGCATACAGTGCTGTTTCGGCCTTCTCGGCCTGATCAGTGCTGTGATCTTCGATAAAGTGCTTAATTTGGATATAAAACCAAAGCTTGGTATAGTTAAATATAACTATTTTCTTTTGTTATTCCTATTTCAGCTAATGTGTATTATGTGAATTACAAGTCTTACTAGCAAGTTAAAATCACCTACGGGCAAGGCGTACACTTTATACCAAAATTGCTTGGCATCAAGTACATCATCTAGTACATCATCACCATCGTCAGGTATTTCTAGTTTACGTATGAAAATCACACAAATCACAGCATACACTCAAGTTGCCAGATCAATTAGCAGCAAATTATTAGAAAGGAATGCAGTAACTTTTAATAAAATTACTTAGTAGCTGAAAAACAAATAGCACAGTCAAAATGTGCCGGCAGCTGGGGATTTGGCCGCCTGCAACAAAATATCTGCTGCTTACTTCACACTTGTTAAACTCGGTCTAGTCTGAACGAGGTTCGGCCTCTACTTCTTATGCCAGCTTGCCTCCTCAAAAATATTTTGACTGGGCTGAAAAAAAATGTTTGAGAGAAAAGTAGCCATTACAAGCCAACTTACTGCAAAATAAGAAACATAAAAGAAACACTTCAAACTAAAACACAATATAAGCCTTTCAGGGTTTTACTCTTAATAAAATCAGTTAAATCTGGGGTGCCACTTGAGGAGGATCATCTTGCAGCTTTTTGACGTAAGACAGAGTGAGATCTGGGTACGACATTGGTCAGTAAATAATGGAGGGTGCCATCAAAAAGTTGTTTGAAGGCACACCATATCTGGGGTATTGGAGCTTACAGAACCAATAAGCCTGAGCCGGATAAGTTTTAGCAAGCGATACGGTATTTTAGAAGTCGAAGGAATATGGGACGAACTCTTGGACACGAAGGTAATGCGCTCTTCATCATTAAGCTCTTGTGAACTCGTAACTCAAAGTAGAAGCTAATTTTGTTCTATTCCTCCACGTCGGTTACATGTGTCGGAACGCTTTTAAGAACTTTTGCAGCATACTTGTAAAGCGGAAAGCGAGGCAACATATTTATTAGAATCTCATTACTGGCTATGCATTTTACATCAACAAAGCGTGGCAGACCATTCATTGGGAGCTCCAGCTCGAGATATTTACAGATGTAAGATTCGAGAAACTGGTTTTTAAAAGGAACCTTTTGTCTTTATTGTTGTCCACTTGTGGCTTTAGAATAATCCAGCTGATTTCATCGTTGTGTGGGGATTGTGTCATATACTGGGTGACGAATCAATGATGAAATTTCCGTTATTGTCTCTGACTGTATTAAATAACGATAACAGCGCAGTAATGGCTTGTTTGCCAATTACGCATATATTCGCACCAAAAATAATCCCCCAGGACTCCCCTGTGCGGCTTCACCACATTGCACAGCGCCCCCAATGCGCACTAGGTGGTGGGTAGAGTGAACATTGGCACTAGCCAGTTATGTTCATAAGAGATTTGTACCAGAAACACTTGCAGTGAAATTAAAAAAAATGTGTTTGTTGTTTTATCACAGAGATTGTTGGAGTCAGATTTGTACCATGAAGACTAACAGGAACATTTGAACAATTTTTGTTATTTTGTTTCAGAGATTGATTGAGTTAGTGTTGGGTTTTCAAAGGATTTTAAACCAAGGAGGGGAAAATTGTTCAATATAATTTTCTCTTCCCTATTTAGTTGAAAAAAGTTGTTTGTGAGAATGGACAGGAAATTTAATTTTTTTAAGTTATCAGTGTGGCCTGGGGATTGATTGACATAATTGACATTTGGAGTTGCAAATAAAGTTCCTTGAAATTGAGGAGGAGTGCTTGTATATTATGAAAGAATCTTGTTTGGTTCTTTTGTTGTAGTTTTTCTGTGGAATTTTGTCAATTGGAACTTGTGACCTTTTTGGATTTTCAAACAGAAAAAAATGTGGAAAAACAGAAACCCTTTGCTTCAAATTCTTACTCCATTATTTGTGTAATTATTTATTTAGATTCAGTGTGTCACCATGTTATTTTCATCATGATACCTCTCAACTTTTTAATAATTTTGTTCTGTTTTGCTTTGTCTCCTCAGACCTGTTTTCAATATTTCAGTGGCTTTAAGCTTGGAAAAATTAACCCTTTAACTCCCAAGATCTGATTGTTAATTCTCCCCTCTGGCTGCAACAAATTTCCTTATGAATAAGTTTCAAGAATTTGGTGTTAGATCAAATCTGAGTATTCTCATTACTTGTTTGCTAGATAGTGCATGGATATTGTAGGGAGAAGTTACTTGTTAATCACTTCTGGGAGTTAAATTTTAACCAGGCAAAATACTCTACCCAACACATTGTTTTACATGCTTGCGAGATCAAGAAAAAACCACCAAAAATGCTAAAAAATGCTAGAAAAGCCTTCAACATTGGAGAGGTGTGGAACCCAGCATGTTGCCATTGTAGCACAATTTACAATCTTATCTTGTGGAACCCACCAAATAGAGTCTTATTTCCAAGAATCAAACATTTCTGATGCAAACTGGTTGAGCTATTTTGCATTTATTTATTTGGTTGAGTGTATGACATCATCACGTAGCTTAAATGGTTTAGATTGGATAGTTGCAAATTTGATCATAGTGGCACTTTAAAAGTGTCTTTCCAAATTGCTTGTTCTTGTTCCACTCTTCTCAGTTTTTACATTACTGAGTATGATTATATTTATTCAACAAATGTACTTGTGGTGAAATGATAAAATAAAATACACGATAAATGCACCTCTTAAAAACCAGCATTTCATTTTAAACCTTGTATTAATATCCTTTATTATTTGAACAGGTAGCCAAAGATATCCTTTCTGGACAATATTTCAAAGAGGGAGGACTGTTCTAGAGAAAAAGTTTCTTGATTACTACCCAGACATGGAACTTACAGATGATGAGGAGAAAGCTGCGATGTGTCTTATTTCTGTACTTAAAAATAATCTAGTTGTGAAATTAGAAGAGGTTACAGGAATGCAGGCAACAAATTAATTCAAGTTGAATGTTACTTTTGCACACAACTTTCTTGGACCTCTTACTGGAGAGTGCATTTTAAATGATTTCCACAAAGGGGAAATTTCTAATATCAAGAGAAGCTGTCAGACATCCTCATGCTAGAGTTGTAAGGTGATACAGACTCCATCTACTTGTGGTCTGGAGGGCCTTTGTATGGGTAAGTAATACTGGTCATTTGTTTAACATAAATGAGTCAATCTGAAAAATAAAAATGTACTTTTACACGTAGCTGGTTATCAACTTGATAATAGTAACCCTCAGGAGTACAAAGCGAGAAGTACAAATTGCCACCCCTCCTCCCAAAGGAGATTTTGAAAAGGGACTTTTGCTATGATGCTGAAACTTTCTGTACCTGTTCATTCATCCATCGCAGACTGTTTTTGATATGTCCAATGAGTGTCCACAATGATTGATGATTCCAAGGCAACCATCTTATTACATGCATGTCATGCAAAAAATTGATTGTTTTGACATAATTATCTATTCCAGACATAACTAATCGATGATCAATGATAATGGGTAATCAATGGGTAATCAATGGATAATCAATGAGTAAATAACTTATTACTCATGGGGTATTGCCAGTTCTCATTAAGTAAATGAGTAATCAAGTGCCAAAAATTTTGTGGAGCATTGATTACTCATTGATCCATTGATTACTTATTGATATCTTTGATTATCTGTTGATTATCCATCAATTAGTCATTTACTGTCTTAGTAATAGTGTTTTGAACTTACAGCTTCCTAGCCACTCAAGTTAAAAATAGTCACATATGTATGCAGTAAAGTAATGAAAATAGCAAGAACAAAAAAAAGAAAAAAAATTGGTGCATCATGAACCTCAACTCAGAGATGAGTGGAAAAATACCCTTATTTGGAATGAGCCCTTATAACTCAAAATGGCCTCTTACAATTATTTTTAAGTAATGAAAGATCATCGCAGTGACCAATATATACTCAACTTAAGTAGTTGAGAAAAGAAAACTGAGACAATTTTGGGCATGAATGGAGATTGAACCCATTACCTCTGCAATAACAATGCAGTGCTCAACCAAATGGGCTATCAAGCCAACTGGGAACTGATCACATTGTGAGATGGTCATGGGTTTGATCCCCGTTCAAGCTTTAAATTTTTTCAGGTTTCTTTTTGTTAAGCCATGTTTGAAGAAAGACAAAACTGGAACTTCTCTGTCAGTTGTTTATATTTCTTTTTTGTCCTTACGGGCCTGGATTTTTTTCAGGTCCTATTTGCAACTACTAGTTCAGTAGTGTTCTTAGCTGTGAGGATCTATTAAATTTGTTTCTTTGCCGCAGTGCAAATACATGAATTTCATATATCTAAAATCATTATTTCCAAAGTTACTTGGAAATTTTCTTTGGTATAGCAAGTTAGTTTATCATGATTGAGGTGGTGAAACTAGTTTTCAATTCTTTTTAAGAGTTGCTTGCACAATTTTTGTCAGCGTGAGCAATTTTGGCTTCATGCAGAAAATCCTAAAAACTGTTAGTAATTAGCCACCTTACCATGTGAGGCACTAAGTGGTCTTGGTTCCCAGGATGGTGTCTTTGTTCTAAGGTTTTCAAATCAATTCTTTCTATGCTATCAATCTTTGTACCATTACAGTCACTGCCAGCATCCACATGCAGTATTCTACTGCCTTTTATTTAAAAGTAGTTACCTTACACGTTTATAAAAGTTTTCACATAAAAGTCTTCAGGAGGCATTGGCTGACAATCAGTGTAAAACAGTGTAGAATTTGCATTTGCAAATGCTCTTCGGGTCAAATTGTTATTACTAATAAAAATTAAAGTATTTTGAATATGCATGGCCAAAAATGGGAAATGCAGAGATTTTGTTAAATGAAAATTTCCATCAAAAATACCCCCATTGTACCTTGTCCCATAGGTCTGAAGAGAAATTGCACTGTATCTTGTGAGCTGGTCGACTTCCTGTTTCCATAATGTTCACCACTCATTCTTTGATTATTTTGCAAAGCTCACTGTAGTGAATGGAATTGCTGGTTACATTTTACAGAACTCTAAGATGGCTTGTTCTTGCTAGGATGTTCAGTTTCTACTTTAGTAAGTTATGTAAAGTAATAACTTTGAACTTTGTG